ACTCAGGTATAGATTGATACAGCTAGGATACCTGACTTTATGAAGAATATCTAGACGCTTCCTTATAGCTTCATTTCTTACTTGTCTTAGCTGTAATTCTCTCTCAATGATAACTGTTGACATTTTTCTTTAAAACTGAGCTACTAAACTGTTTCAAAGGCTGTTTTTGAGCACCTGCTATGTACAGAGGGAACTCTGGTGACTTATTGGTAAAGTATTGTGCTGCCAACACAAAAGCAGGCAGTTCAAATCCACTGGCTGCTCTGTGGGAGAAAGATGGGTATTCTCCTCTTGTGATTTACAGCCTCTGAAAAGTCACTGGAGGGTCAGCTATGAATCTGTTTTGATTTAATGACATGAGATAGATAGATGATAGATAGGTAGGTAGATAGATAGATAGATAGATAGATAGATAGATAGATAGATAGATAGATAGATTATGCATTAGCCAACCTCTGGGACAGTAATAGGCAGACAAGACCAATTCTCTGCTTTTCTTAGGTTTGCAGTCAGATAGAACCAGCTTGTCTTCCTCATCCAGACAAGAAGAAGCATGGACAAGCACTTATTTATACACCCTTATGCCAGGCATCTTATTGAGTACTTTACACACATTATCTTCATTCTTGTAGGAAATCTAGTAATAGAAACTGTAACTCCTTAAAAAAAAAAAAGAGAGAAACGTTCAATGTTGGTTTTTAATGATATAAATATTGAAAAATCACCAATAAAATATTCTTGATTTCCATGGATCAGGTGAAGAGATTGCAAATCTGGAGTGACAGCTAAGAGAATTTACAACTACCATCTGTTGTTAGGTACTATAGAGTTCATCACAATTCACAGTGAGCCTTTGTACAACAGAACAAAACAATGCCTAGTCCTGCACCATTCTTTCACCATTGTTATGTTTGAGTGTTGCAGCCACTATGTGGATCCATCTTATTAAGGGCCTTCTCTTATTGAATTGTTTTGCCCTCTTCATTACCACGCATGATGTTCTGTAGAAACTAGTCCCACACCGTATGTAAAGCCCATGGTGTAAATGATACTCTTTTGTCACCAGCATTATTCTAAAAGAGACTGAAAATCTGAAGTCATAACTAAGAGAATACGGAAAAGCTATCTAGTTTTATACAATTTTACATCTTCACACTAAAGCTTTCATTGTTGTCATGTAATAATCTAATTTTTTTTCTGCTTTATTTGCTTGTTCTCATCATTTCTCCTCAGAGGCACCATTATAAGCATACCAAAATCCATAATAAGGCAATCACCATGTTCAGTTCGCAAAATTGTACTTTGATTTTCCATGTGACTGCTCCTGCTGCCTCTGGAGATTGATTTGGTGCAGTGGCATTGATCCCACTAAATTGTACTGTAACAGCAGATACTGTGTTTTCTGATGCTAACTGAACTAATTGCCTTCAAGTCTGACTTACAGCTGACACTCTATTGTGTTTCCAGGGCTGTAAATTGCCCAAGAGGCGATCTCAAATCTTTCTCCTGTGAACTCAGACTGCCAGAGAGGTGAACCTTTTGGTTTGCAGTGCAGTTTTCTATGACTAGGTCACTAGAGCTCCCTTATTCTCAACTTTTTTTTTTTTTTAATTTATTATTAACTTCAATGAAAATTTACAGAGACTTTGGATTTTCATTAATTCATTGTTGTACTTTTCTTCCCTCCCAACCCTCCCCCTTAGTACACTACCCTTTTGGAAAAGTAAAAGAAAAATTCTTTCATTATTTCATAGTCCATCCCCCAGGTCCATTCCACTATACAGCTTTTGCACTGGACTCCCGTCATGACAAAAATACCTAATCACATATCCCTTTTAAACAGTTTTCCTCTCTCATTTGTTTCAATGCAGTATACATCATTTAACCCATCTTTCTCAGTCTCCCCGCAACCCCAATGTCAGTCCTGTTTCACAAGAGTTGCGCCATGCAGTATTTGTCCTTTTGTGACTGAGATACTTCACTCAGCATAATGTCCTCCAGGGTCACCCATTTTGAACAATATTGCATGAGTTCCTTGTTTTTCAATGTAGCATAGTATTACATTGTGAATATACCCCAGCTTCTCTATCCATTCGTTTGTTGATGGGCACTTAGGTTGTTTCCAACTCCTTGCTATTGTGAACAAAGCCACAATAAACGTGGGTATGCATGTATCTGCTTAGGTGGCAGTTATGGTCTCTTTCGGGTATATTCCGAGTAGTGGAATTTCTGGGTCAAATGGTATCTCTAGGGGAGCTCTGGTGGCCCAGTGGCAAGAAGCTGCAACTACAATCCCAGAGGTGCACGGTTTGAATCCACCAGATGCTCTGCCGGGGAAGGAGGGGCAATCTCCTCCTGTACCAGTCAGATCTGATTTGACGGTACACACACACAAAAATAATAATTAAAAAAATGGTATCTCTATTTGCATGTTTTTGAGAAAGCGCCACACCACCTTCCACTGTGGTTACACCATTTTACACTCCCACCAACAGTGAATAAGGGTTCCAGTTTCTCCACAACCTCGCCACCATTTGTTGCTTGCTGTTCTGTTAAATTTTTGCTATTCTGACTGGGGTGAAATGCTATCTCATAGTTGTCCACCTTTTAAAAAAAAATTTGTCAGAATATTAGCGTATTCTTTGCTATTCTGATTATTCATTTTAGCAATAAATTGTTGTTTTAGGTATCATTATTGTTAGATATCAGTAACGGTACCTAATATCTTATGTTTGTCGCAATTTATGGAGACCCTGTGCACAATAGAAGGAAACCCACCTGATGCTTAACGATCCTTGATGTTGCTGTTTCCTTTTCCAGAGACTAGTGCATCCCGATAACATGCCGAAAGTATACGAGACAAAGGGTCATCATTCTTACTGCTAAATAGCACTTTGGCTTCACCTCTTAAGACAAATTTGTTGGTTCTTTTGGAAGTCCTTAGTGTATATTCTGTATTTTTCTACAAAACCATCATTCAGTAGCATCTGTTATTGAGTTTGTGGAACAATTGAAAATACTATGACTTTAGTCTTTGATGTGACATCCTTGTCCTTTAGCACTTTAAAGAGGTCCTTGAGGCACATTTGTTTGATGCTGTTTATCATTTTCCATTTACCTTATGAGCATGATGTCCTTCTCCAAGGACTGATCTCTCCTGGTCACGTGGCCAAAGTAAATGAGGTGGAGTTTCAAAATTCTAGCCTCCAAAGAGAAACTTGGTTTCATCCTCTCAAAGACAGACCTATTTGTTTTCTTGGCAGTCCATGGTATGTTCGAGATTCTTCTCCAGCACCACAACTCAAAGACATCTATTCTTCTTCTGCCGTCCCTAGTCATTGTCCTACTCTCTGATGCACAACAAGTAATTGAGAAGACCATGGCCTGGATTAGGCACACCTTTGTGTTTTAAGAGTGGGTGGACGTGCAGGAGAGGGAGATTCTAGATGAGATGGATTGATATAGTAACTGGGGCGCAGGGGGTTGGTGTGTCAGAATTAGTAAGACTGGTTCAGGACAGGGAAGGGTTCAGAGCTGCTGTGGTCACTATACATTGCAGGTGACTCAATGACACATAACAACAATAACATACTATGACAGGTTTGGAAACAGGAGTGGCACCCACTACCTAACCAACATGCCTCCACACTCTTAGGAACTTTGATAAATGTTGATGGTTGGTAGAAGGGCTTCAGGCCTTATTTTCACAGGGTTGCTTTGAGTCGTGCTCGACTTGAAGGTAGTCAACAACAACTACATGTATCATTTGAGTTGTTGGGTGCTGTTTCCATGGATTTTAATGGACATATTGCTGCTGCTGTGAAAAACCTCTGAATCAGTGTTGCGGATTATTTCTTTTTAAAATCTTTCAGATTTTTTTCCTTAGATTAATTTCCCTGTTGTTTACTCCTTAGATTTCCATGATTTCAAATTGACAATGACGATCTCTTCTAATTGTATTATCATTACGATAAAATATTCTGGCTTTCTTAGACATTTGAATGCTGGAAAATACAATTTGGTCTTTGGAAGTTCTTTGGGGGAAAAATGAGCTTTGTGATCTCAAAATGAATAATAAAAATATGTTGTTGTTGTTGTTGTTGTTGTGTACCATCAAGTCAGATCTAACCCATAGCTGACCCTTCGGTGAGTTTTCAGAGGCAGTTAATCATCGTACGGGAGGAGATTACCTATCCTTCTCCCTCAGAGCATCTGGTAGCATTGAACTGCGTGCCTTCAGGATTCCAGCACAGCTTTTTAATTACTAGGCCACCAGAGCTACTCTTTTAATATTTTCAAAGATTTTCTGAGATTTTGTCCTTCAAGGAATAATAAAGTGTTTCAGAAATATTTATGATTATATAATTTATTCACAGGAGATAATGTGGCAGTCAGCGTCCATAAAAATCGGAAACCTTGGTAACGAGCCTGTGGGGCAGTTTTACTCTGTCTTCAGGCCTACTGTGAGTTCAGATAGACTCAGTGACAGTGAGGAATTTTTTTTCTGTCTTTTTTATGCATTAACTTGTAATTACACACTTTAGAAAGGCAGTTTCTGAAAATTCCTGGAGCTTAATAAAAGATATTTTGAGGTACACAAGTAATAAGAGTCTGTAGGAAGGCACCAGTTGTCTGATGGTGATGGATTTTATTATGTGCGGCCACGGAGCAGGAAATGGTTCATTTGTTTTAGACTTTGATTCATTTGAGTTAGGATATAAATGTATGATGGTTGTTTCTTCTTATTCTCAGACTTGACAGGCGTTAAAGTAAACGTTGAGAACACATGTGTCATAGTCTATTTCCCTGTTGGGTGGCGATCTGTAGTGTGAACATATAAATATTTAGTAGTATATCCATAATGCACCAAATGTGTTACTAAAGAAGAAACTACAGACATACATTTGCAATATCTATATAATTAGACTATTGTTCATTGAAGCGTGAAAAGAGTGCCAGAAAAAGAAACCAAGTTTTTACTGGGTTTGTGTGTATTCCAGGAAGAAGAGGAGGGTTCAGAAGAAGATATCAACACAAAGCTGGATTTCACAGTCACCCTGAAAACAGACTTCAGTGCCCGTTGCTTCCTGGACCAATTTGAAGATGATGCTGATGGGTTTATTTCACCAATGGATGATAAAATACCATCCAAGTGCAGCCAGGACACCGGGCTTTCCAATCTCCATGCTGCTTCAATGTATGCTGTCTTGGTTTTAAAAGCTTTCAATGCAGATAGCTTTCTAAAAATTTACTTTTAGTCATTGTTTTTAAATTAATTTGCAGATAGGACATAAGTAAATTGCATGGGGGTGTCCTTAGATGGATAAACTTTTTTTAAATTTTTTTATTTTCTGACTCAGTATTTTTAACTGCTTCATCCATATTCTTTGAAGGAGCTTCTGAGATCTTGCTTAAACAACCAGAAGTTTCTATAAATGGCATTATGAGATTCAGTACTCCACAGCTCATAATTTAACATTAAGCACAGATGTCTTCTCTTTCTCTCAAAGCAAAATATGACAGTGTGCCATGGGATTTTGCACGCCTTAAGAATTTCTAACTAGCAAAAGCCGGCAGGAGCCATTTTTATCATTAGCTTTTTGGGGTTTCAGGAGATGGAATACATCCATTCTGCTGACCCTATAGTTCACTCAAAATTGTTTTGTATTTGTTCCCCCTTTCATCACCAACCTGTCAAGTTGCACATTCTTAACACACAATATTTTCTGTTTTATGTCATTCTCTTGACATTTTCTTCCCATTTAGACCTGAACTCTTGGAACATCTTCAGGAAATGAGAGAAGAAAAGAAAAGAATTAGGAAGAAACTTCGTGATTTTGAAGACAATTTTTTCAGGCAAAATGGAAGGTAGTGAGTGCCTTTACTTCCCCACTTTTCTCTAGACACACCCCCTTTCTTCTCTGTCATAACTGCAGTGTACCTGGGTAGTGGAGCTGTATCCTCCCTGTAACCCAATGCTTGGGAGTGTGCCCAGGGGCCCTTAGAGGGCTACTGTGAGAGAATGAGGTTTGTGCCATTCTTCAGGAAGAAATGCCTTCTGGATACTTTCCAGGACTGATTCAGATTCAGCTACCATTTCTAAAACTAGCCTGTCACATCAAATTCTAATCTAAAGCGAGCAACTTGAAACTGACTTTCCAGTTGGCAGTACTTTGGGTTTATATTTTTTTTTCCTTCCTTAAGAAATTAGAGAGAGAAATAAGGAAAGGAAACTGTAAATATTGCTAGTTTTTCAGCTTATTTTAAAAGCAAAGATGATAAGTGCCAAATTTGAAATGGAAATATATATGCTAAGCAATGATCCCATATGGTCGATAGGTTGTCTTTCTCTCCTGAGTGTTAAGGTATAATTTACTCATCCTTATTAATTAATATAGTTTTAGATTATTTAATTCATTTTATTTTAATCCAAATTGTATAAACTATGTATGTATAGTATAACTCATGCTCATAACAAATGAGGATAATAGTTTAAACACTAAGATATCTCATCCAAGCCATGGTCCTTTCAGCTGCATCTGAAAGTTATAAACAAATCAGGAAGACTGAAGAAGAATCAATGCCTTTGACTTGTGTTTGGTAAAGAGTACTGAATATATCTTTGACAGCCAAGAGAACAAACAAATCTGTTTTGGAGGAAGTGCAGCTATATTGCTCCTTTGAAGTAAAGATGGTCAGACTTCGTCCCACATGCTTTGGGCATGTTATCAAGAGGGACCAGTCCTTGGAAAAGACATTAAGCTGAGAAGGAAGGGTAGAGCATTGGAGAAGGAGATGAATACTCTCAGCAAGGATTGACACAGTGACTAAAACAATGGGCTCAAGTATATCAGAGACAGTGAGGATGACACTTGACAAGGTTCAGATCTGTTCGTAGGGTCACTATGAGTTGAAGTTGTTCAATGGCACCTAGCAACAACAGCAACGTGTGTGTGTGTGTGTGTGTGTGTGTATGATTTTTTAAAGTCCCTTTTTATACTTCTGAGAAATAAATGCACCATAGCATTGGCATTGGCTTTAAAATGCAGTAAATTCTAATTTATTTCAATTGTTGTTGTTACGTACTGTCAAGTCAGAAGCAACCTATAGCTGACCCTCCGGTGGGTTTTCAGAGGCAATTAATCACACAAGAGGAGACTGCACATCCTTCCCTCTTAGAGAAGCTGGTGGATTAGAACTGCATGTCTTTGGGATCGCAACACAGCTTCCTACCACTAGGCCAGCACAGCTCCCTTACAAAGACAAAAATAAATGTCCGAAGAAACTCTGACATTTATTTGTAAGTGTAGAGAAACTAAAGAAAAAAGCAGAAATGGTGGAAAAAAGAGAGTTCAACAGAAAATGTCAAGGGGCACAGTATTATAACAAAATATGCAAAGCTTAGAAAACTGCAATGAAAGAGCATACTCTATGGGGGAAATAGTGAATGATGCTGGAAGCGTCAAAAGAAGATGGATGAGAACACATTGGCTAATACCAAGCCACTTCAGTAAGTAGAATACAATAAAAAACCCAATAGTACCAAAGGAAGAAGCCCAAGGTGCACCGAAAGCATTGGCAAAACACGAGACACCAGGAATTGAGGGGATACTAATAAATGTGTTTCAGCAAATAGTTGCAACCTAAATGTACTCACTTATCTTATGCCAAAATATTTAGAGGACTAATTGGTTAACTCCCTGGAAGAAGTCCATATTTATCCACATTCCAAAAAAGATGATCCCACAGAATTCAGAAATTCTTGTAAAAATATAATTACTATCACATACAAGTAAAATCTTACTGAAAATTATTTTAAAATTGTAGAATATTTAGAAAATAAACAGGTCAAGAAGATAAAATACTACTACTACCTGAAGTAATAAGAAGTAATTACTACTGAAGTAGTAATACCCAAAGACGGACCTTGATTAAAGTCTTGATGTGTTTCCTCTATGTTTTTGTAAACATAGTTTTGATTTGTGTCTGCTTCCTTCTTCCATATAAATTATAGTCACATCATGTGCAGGTGTCCCGGACCCAAACAACAGTGTATTTATGTAATTTGCACAAGAGAAACTGTTAAAATGTTTTAAGTTTATATAAGATAAATAGATAGACAGACAGACAGACAGATACTCATTATTCTCACTGGTTTGTCCATTTGCTGTAGAGAGGTAACTTCTGGTTGCTGTGATGCTAAACACTGTGACACTGATATGTCAAAGTGATAATGATTATCCATTGTGGACAGTGTTTGGTGGAGCTCCCAATCAAAACAAGCTTGGCAGCAGGAATGGCACCCACTTCTGACATAACTAGCGTCCGGAAACTCTATGAATGTGGAGAAACTATGAAAGTTATACAAGTGTTCAGCTCTTTCATTCATAGGGTCACCAAGACTAGTCTACGATTCAACGGCACTTAACAACAACATCAATATTTAGAACTGTAAAGAACAAAAATAAATAGAATCTAGTGTCTGTGCACAAACAAATCCTCAGAGGACACCAGGCCTCAGATGTTTCCATTCCTCACCTGTTCTTTCTATCACTGCCTCCTGCTGAAAACTCAAAACTAAACTCTTGGCTGTTGAGTCAGAATGGACTCATAATTGGCCACCTGTGGGATTTTTCAGGAGGCCAGAAATCACATGGGAGGAGATTGCCCCTCTTTCTCCTGAGGAACTGCTGGTGGATTCAGATTGTCAGAAAGCTGTGGGCTTTGGGTTAGTAACACAACAGCCCAGGGCCTGCACCACCAGAGTGCCCTAATCTCTATTCTTATCACTACCCCCTGCTGAAAAGTCACCTCAAATTCTTTCCTCAAACAAGGGAGGTCCCAGATAAAATCCATTAGTTCATTGAACAAATTAAATAAGCCTTTCCAGTATTTCCTTTTGACATAATTAGAAAAGGAAGCCTCCCCTTTGAATGTCTGACTTTCACATTTCAAATTAGACTGTGTGTTGATAAAGAGCAATTGCTTTGAGCTCTGGTGGCCTAGTGGCAAGAAACTGCACTGCAATCCCAGAGGTTCATGGTTTGAATCCACCAGATGCTCTGCTAAAGAAGGAGGGACAATCTCCTCTTATACCAGTCAGCTCTGATTTGATGGTACACACACACACACAAAATAATAAAAATTTTTTTTTAAAAAAAGAGCAATTGCTTTAAAGTGAGTCCATCTGACTTCCAGCCCTGGTGGGCATTATATTTAGAGTGTCAATAATAACGCCGTTTTATCAGGTCTTTGTAAGGTTATATTAGATCATGGGCACAATATGCACAGCACAATATTTGCCCCCCAATTAATAATTGTTGTTACATATAAAGTATACAGAGAAAATTGCTCAGAAAACTATGAGAGCAGAGCTTGCAAGTGCTAAGTGATGCAACTGCTAAATTTCAAGACTTAATATAAGAAGTATTAGCTGTTTTTAAAAAAAATGTGTAAATTGTATATATATTGTTTGCTAATTAGAAATTTAATGGTTCATTAGATGAAATAGACAAAAATGAACTGGCATGATGAATAAAGGATTTCAGGGTCTGAAGAATGGTAATGTGAATTCATACTCAAGGGCAGAGAGAAGAAATGTCTACATTTCTTAGTCCTTCATGTCATTCTATAAAGTGTCGGATTAACTGCATGAAAACTCAGTCACACGGTGTCTTCTGGGGGAAGCTGTCTTTCTCTGCTTGTCTACATCCAGCCCTAGTCTCGCTATCAAATACCATTTTGTAACTCTGATACTGAAGGCTGATAAACTGCAGACTTTTCTCATGATGATAATTCACAGTATCATCAGAGTGAAGCAGAAAATGATCCTCTTCCCCTCTTGTCTTTTGTTCCCATCAGAAATGTCCAGAAGGAAGACCGCACCCCTATGGCTGATGAATATAATGAGTACAAGCACATAAAGGCGAAGCTCAGGCTCCTGGAGGTGCTCATCAGCAAGAGAGACACTGATTCCAAATCCATGTAAGGAAGCCTGCCCGGCCCCCGCAGAGGGTGCTGAGGATGCGGGCGGAGTGGACCAGCTGCCTCCTCTGGTAAACAGTATCTCTGCAGAAACTGGAAGGCAACCTTGGAGCTGGCTGGAAAGCACAGGTGGCTTTTTCTGGACCTGCAAAGCATGCAGCCCTCTGCCTCCCATACCACAGGGATCTGCTCCTGGTCCCATTGCTTGCCTTAGAAATCACCCCAACGGAAGAAGGCAACATGAGCTGACTCGGGAATTTTGTAACGGGCCGGTCAAGATTCCCATGTGCATGAACACATACACAGAGAGATGGCACTGTAGTGGACATTTTATTATTAACACTAACAGTGACAAGTCACTACAGCTAAACACAGTGATCTACAGACAATGTACACCGTTCCCTCCCCAGAGGACCGAGAAACATGAGACCATTCTCTGTGATGCAAACAAGCTCAGGACTTTGTTTTGTAGAGCAAACTCGATGTGGAGGCTGTAGTCTCCTGGGACCCCGTTAAGCATGGACTTGCATCAGAGAGCCCTATTTGCTGCCTTGGCCCTTCTGGTGACCTTTGTGCAGAGCTGCGCCTTTCCCACTCGTGTGAATCTGTGGTTTATCCTCTTCTGCTCTCAGGTAGATGGAAGTGGCATTTGCCCGGAGTGGCGGTGCCATCATCTATGTGATGCTGTGTTTCTTCAGGATGTCCTCAACTGACAAAAATTCTTGGTTCCTTACTAGAACTCAGTATCTGCACAAGACCGAGGAATTGTAGCAGTAGCTATGCCCATGATTATTTTTAAATCAGGTTAACAGGGTGAAGAGCCTGGCCAATTCTTTCCTGAACATTAACTGCACTCATCCGTCTGATTTTCAAAAGACATTCACATCAAACACTACATGAGGCCAGCATGCAGGCTGCCTTTTCATTTTGACACTAGGCAAATATTAAAGGCCTTGCTTGATTGTAGCCTAAGTATAGAGGATCATAGGAGAGAAAGAGTCTGCATTCTCAGCTTCCTGAACACCAGAATTTGAATTAAAATAAATAAATTAACAGGCACCGAAAATTCATGCACTTGAATTAAGGGTGAGTCCTCAGAGCTCAGCTCAAGGTCAAATTGAAATCATATCATTTTCATGAGGATGCTGAAGAGAATGCTGTGTGGCCAATTATGATTGCCATTTTTTTTTCAAAGACTGCACCACAGAGCTGTCTATATTAGACATTTTGGAGGGACCAGGGGCTTTAAGATAGAAATTATTCATCTCTTCGGTGTGAGAACATCACTTTGTGGTTTGTTGCTCCTTGTAAATCTGGTTTCTGGTCCAGCCTGTGAGTTCCCGCACATGGTAGCTACGCCTCTCAGCAGGTTCAGCCTTTTGAAGAGAAGGTTGCAGGATGAATGGGACATCAATGATAGCCTCCTTTAGATCTTGAGAGTTGCTCACTTACAAGGGTGTCCTTCCCTCCCCCAGCCCCTATAAATGAGAAGAAGAGAAAATGAACACTTAAAATGTTACTGATATATTGTCAGTATCAAAATGAGTTCTTAAAATGTCTGGTAGATTAGATTTGCAGCAATGTATTCCAGTCCTTAAGTGAGGTGGCAGCTCTCTTTTGTTGAATGAATATTGATTAAGTTTTGGGAGAAAAGAATGCCTTTAATAAGTTTGTTCTGAAAAATAATTGTAGAGAAGCATGAGCTATGTGTTGGAAGTACCCTGGTGTTAAACCACACACTTAAAGAAGATACATCATCCCGCAAATTTAAGTGTACATGAAAATATAGTTTGATATTCTTCGCTCTACTGTTTACACTGAAGATCACTATAATTTCAAGGAGTTCTATTAAAAATAAGATGATGCACTTTAGGACATTTTCTATTTTTGAAATCTGAACGTAAATCATACACATGACCAAAAATTGTATTTTTTAAAAGAGATGCATACATGTCAAGTCTGTCCTCTTTAAAGTAATTGTTATCCTACATAGCTATAATAGAAATCAAACCATTATCAGTGAACTTTTTAAGCACATCTGCGTTAAGAGTATTGTTTTGAAAAATATGCTGCAGGATTTGTTTTGTGGTTTTTAAAAAAAAAAAAAATGTGATAGGAGAAATGCAATGTTTTGAAATCTGTTGTTTCTGCCAAAGGTTAATGAACTGAAAGTTTTATTTAGGAATCCCCAGTCAAATTTGTATGATTGAATATAAGAAAACACCCGCCAATAGTAAAATAAATTGTAAATGGATTGTTGTGTCTTCTTTTCTTAATTGTTCATTAGCTACATACTTTATAGAATTGAGCCCAAGTTTAGAGAGGGAAATCTGTTTACACTGGATCCTGTTTGAAGACATGTTGCTCAGTAATTTCTGGCCCAGCCAGAAATGCCAAGGCAAATTTGTTTCCACAGCAACCATTTCTGCAGCCCGAGACCTCAAGACTCTAGAGGCAGATTCTTAATTGGCTTCCCACTGACAGAATGCTTTGGACGACCGGTTTTCCTTTGCTGTCTTGGGAATGTGTATGTTTATTAGCACATGCCAACAAAAATGTTAAGAGTTATTTAATAACAATGATAAGTAAAGGTTAAGCATGAATAAACCTCATTGTATGATTATGAGAATTAAAAGATGGCAAAGACTTGTAATTTCTCTCTCTGGAGTAAACATAGAAATGGATGTTTATATTAAGGATATAATTACTGTGTTTCATCTTTGAATCATTAATTTGGGATGTCACTTTCTAAAACATGTATGTGCAAGGTTTCGCATATGGGCCTGCTTAGAAGTTTTTCAAGGCAACAGAAGTTCATCCTGTGTTGGTAGAAGAATGATTACCCAGTTCATGAAAAATTCTCACAAACGCTAAATTGCATTTCAAATTGAAGAACTACATTTTCATTTTTACAAGCAAGCTATAATGCTTTATGAGCTAATAATTAGAAAAGATTTCACATGTATCGTTTTGGTTGCCAATTTGAAGTTAAAAGACGATTATTCCTTGTTAAGGCAAGGTTTTGACCTGTTTGGGAGTCACCGGGAGTTGTAGTCAACTCATCGATTCTCTGACGATAGCAAAGCAGGAATCCGCAGTGCCTCTGTGGTGCCAGGGTTATTTTCGCTTTTTGTCATGCTGACGCAATGCTTGCACTACTTCAGAAGAGCCTCTTACAGAGTGTGCTTGCTCCTAGGCGTGGCGTTTCTGACCCAGAAAATACAGCTCAGAGCCATGTTTCTGTCAAAAATACTGCACTGTGATGTCCCAGGGTCTTGCAGACCCTGCTCATGGAGAACATCCTAATTTGTTTGAGCCTGGAATTCTTTGTGAAATGAATAATTAGGTTTCTTTTCCATAGGAAGGGGTGACTATGATGCCACTTGAAGTTGATTCTCTCTGAAGGTTATCTAATTCTCATGAGAATTATTTCCATAACTTACAAAGAAACCAAATTTTAAAATTTATTGATTGATTTAAAAAGAAGATTCTTAATCTGACCTTGAAAAGCCAATTTTTCTCTTGGTAAGAGAAACTTCAAAGGGTAGCTGACATTTGATGGTCTATTTAGAGTTAAAAATTCATAAACTACAAACTGCCTTATGGAAAACAGATTGTAGTCTAAATTCTATTTTGCTTTCAAGAAAGCTGCTTCCTTGACTCGCTGCTCCTGGATTCCCCCCCCCCCCTTTTTATGGTTTCTGTGCCAAAACCAACGCCTTTGCTATATTCTTTGCCACTTGATTAAATCGTAGGAGGCAAAGAAAATGACACTACCGTGTTGGAGCAGGGTACCCTCTGAAGTCTTGTGTCTGACAGTCCCAGAACATGATGTCCTTTCCCTCCATCTATTTCCCCATTTCCCTTTATGCTAAAAGAGCACATTTTCTCAAAAGACCAGCTAAATACCTTCAAAATTTTATATACTTAAATGTGCATACTGGTATTTCTTCAAAGAGTAGCTGCCAGGGCAAGCTCCAAACAAGATGACTCTATATCTATATATATCCAACAAAACACTGTGACATCAGTGATTTTCCCAAATGGAGACTAGGCCTCCGTGGATATCTGTGCTGACACAAAATAATCTTCTATAATAAACAAAAAGCATGTCCATCAACTTGATCTTACAGCAACTAGATTTTAGAGACATAAATGTAAGTAGATATAAAAATTACAAAGTTATCTAGATAATTGTGCAAAATGGAAAACTACTTGCATTTACAATTTCGTGTTGCTATGAAATTGTCCTGCTGGCTATAGAGAATCTCGTTTTTGCCTGGGTCAAGCCAGCCATGGTCATATTCATAGCTCAAGAACTTGGTCTGGCAGATCTAGCTCTCCATCTGAGAACATCTAGCGTCATGTACTTCTCTGTTCCACCTCAGTTGACAAGGGGGCCCAGATGCCTCCATGACACGTAGTCAGAAAGTATTTGTAATTGCTGTTGTCCTTTTTATAAAAAAAAAAAAAATGTAAATTGAATGAGAAATGGTGTGTACATATTTTGTACATGACTGTATTTTGTATCAACTTAAGGAAAATAAAATCTTTTTAACTGTGAGTGTCCAGACGTTCTTGACGGTGTCAGTGAGGTGTGACTGGGTTGCCATGAGTTCTGACCTCCCCCTTTGCTAAGGGGTGGCTGCTCGTCAGAGCTGCTCCTCGGATGCCCCCTGAGGATTTGGTATCTATAGCTCTGTCTCCTGAGAGAGCGCCGGAGGATGAGAAAAACGAGTACAAATTAAACTTGTGTTCTATGCCTGGCTGCATGTAAGATAATAAAAGGGGCTAACAGGACGCAGAAACCTAAGAATCAAAGCAAAGCAACATTCTAAAGTACAGTTCCAACATCTATGAATCTAGTGGAAATGCATAGCATTAGTAGTCTTGGTGATGATCTAGGCTAAATGCTTCACAATTGACCAAAAGGTGGGGTGATTGTTGTGTTGCTGTGTACCACTGAGTCTGAGCTGACCCTCAGAGGCAGTTAATCATCACGCAGGAGGAGACTACCCATCCTTCACCCACAGAACAGCTGGTGGACTTTGAACAACATGCCTTTGGGTTTGCAGCACAGTGTAAATAATATACCATTAGTAGTTTTGGTAAAGGTC